CTACGGCCGCATGTTGATGGAGAACCCCAACAGCACGGCGCGGCACCGCGAGTTGTTCCGGGCCGTGAGCCACGATTGGCACCATTTTTTGGAATTCCCGTCCGCCGTGGAGCCGCAGCGCCGCCGAGCCCCGGGGATCACGCGGAAGCCCAACCCGTGGGAAGACGCCGCGGCCGAGGCCCGCATCCAGCGCCGATATGATTTGCATCAGACCAACATGGCCGAGGCGTTCCAGAACATGATGGGCAGCACCGCGATGGCGTTGCGCGGACCGCAGGGCCCCGTGTTGCAGGCGATCAAGCACGGCGACAGTTGCATCGTGGCCGTGATGCCCACCGGGGGCGGCAAAAGTGCGTTGTTCATGTTGCCCGCGTGGGTGAGTGGCCGGGCCGGATTGACCATCGTCGTCGTGCCATTGACGGCATTACGGAGTGATATGATGGCGCGATGTCGGGATTTGGGCATTGCATGTGCCGCGTGGGATCCCCAGCGTCCGCCGGACGGGGCATCCATTGTGTTGGTCACGCCCGAGGCCACCCCCAACGAGGCATTTGTGAAGTTCGTCAACCGGCAGCGGGTGTCCCAGCGGTTGGACCGCATCGTGATCGACGAGTGCCATGTGGTATTGAGTCGCAACCCGGATTTCCGGCCATTGTTGCAGCAAATGGGCGCGTTGCGGGCCGCGACCACCCAGATGGTGTTGTTGACGGCGACATTGCCCCCCGCGAGGAGCAGACGTTGTGGGATCGCATGGGGTGGCAGCGGGACCAGGTCAGTCTGCACCGCAGTCCCACCAGCCGGCACAACATCGCGTATCGCGTGCACACCATCCCCGTCGACGACGCATATGACGAGCAGTTCCAGTGGGTGGAGATGCCCCGGGTGATCCGGTTCATCCAGGACCGCATGCGGCGGGCATACCCCGGGCGGGTGATCGTGTATGGCACCGTCCAGTCGCATGTCACGCGGGTGGCCGAGCAGTTGGGGTGCCCGGCATTTTACCGCAACGCGGTCGACAAAGACGGGATGTTGGACACGTTCCGCCGCCAGCCCGGGGCCGTGATCGTCGCCACCAGTGCGTTGGGCATGGGCATCGACATTCCGGACATCCGCAGTGTGATCCACGTGGGCCAGCCGCGGAACATGTTGGATTATGCGCAGGAGAGTGGCCGGGCGGGTCGGGATGGGCAGCCCAGCGAGGCCATCATCGTGCAAGCCGAGGGCCGGACGATGGGCCGGGAGATCCGTCCGTATTGGATGAACGATGCCCCCGAGGCCGAGCACACGCAGGTGGTCGAATATATGGACCGCGGCGCGATTGGGTGTCGGCGGGTGATATTGGATGCATATTTGGATGGGGAGATTGGCGGATACCAGCGCCAGCGATGCGGGGACACGGTGCCGGAGTCGGTGTGTGATGGACATGGATGCCAGCCCGATTGGGAGGACCACGAGTCGCGGATGGGGTCGTCGTCCCCGGGGGAGGCGGATGCGATGGATGAGGATATTGAGATGGTTGACGGAGATGAAGGCATGCCGGATGACATTGCGCCCCCCGTTGTGTCCGGGCCACCGATCGTTTCCACGCGCATGTCCGAGGTGGCATGCAGCAGTGATAGTGGGAGGATAGTGTCCCAGGTGGCATGCAGCAGCGATGCTGGGAGGATTGTGTCCCAAGTGGCATGCAGCAGTGAGAGTGCGAGGATTGCGTCCCAAGTGGCATGCAGCAGTGAGAGTGAGAGGATTGCGTCCCAAGTGGCATGCAGCAGTGATACTGGGAGTATTGTGTCCCAGGTGCCGTTTATATCACCAGCCGCAGCGAGGACGGCACCAGCAGCAGCGAGGACGGCACCAGCAGCAGCGAGGACAGCAGCAGCAGCAGCAAGGACAGCACCACCCACGACCCCCAGGGTCGAGCCCACATCCATTCCCGCCACCACACCCCGAACCATCCCGACGGACATCCGACACCAATTCCGGCAGCAGGACATTGAGCGCGCCCACATCGCGCAGCGGCATCACGGTCCGGCCGGGCCCCGATTCGACGACGAAGCGTTTTTGGTCAGTGAGGTCGACAAGTGGGTGCATCGGTGTTGGACATGCACGCAGAGGGGATATGATGATGCGCATGAGATGTGGCGTTGTGGGTTTACCGGGGCCGGGGGAGCCAGCAGGGAAACCCAGGCGAATAAGGATTGGATGAAGATGGTCCGCGGGAAGGTCCAGTATGCCAATTATACCGCACATTTCCCGTGTGGCATGCCGCAGCACATATGTCCATTGGGTGATCATCACGCGGACCATAGCGAGGAGGTCCAAAAACGGTGTCGAGGATACCGCACCGTGTTGATTCCGATGGTGGCCATGATGGGCAAGGGGCCGCAGCGAGATGCGGAGGTCACGCAGCGATGGTTCCAGCGATTGGCGTCGCGCGGGGTGGTGGATCCGGAGCGGAATGATGAAGGGTTGATTCAGTATTTCGGACAGCGCGCGCCGGGGACGGCGCAGAAACGGTCGCAATTGACGGAGGAGTTTATTTGGTTACGGCGGGCATATGATGGACGGGAGAGGTGCAGTGATTAGACGTGGGTCATGTTGATGGCATCATGTGGGCGTTTCACAAGGGTTGTTTTACCAGCAGGAATATATGCATGATGATTTTCATATATATATTCCAGTCCATGATTGGCAATCGCCCAGTATCAGTTTCGCAGTCCCAGCAGCGGTTGTAGAATATTGTGCGGCGTCATGCGAGGCCGCGACACCAGCGGGCCCATCCAGTGGTTGATCGATTTGCGTACATACGGCCGGGTCACCGACACGCCCGTGGAAGGCCAGATTGAATGGAAATCCGGGGATGAGTTATGGTAGAAGCAGATCCATTCACCATGGGCGATTTCCGTGGATTCGTGCATGGGTTGGTGGGGAAGACGTGCCCGATATTGGTTGGGCAGTTGATGTTTTGCCCGCCGGGCGCCCGTTATTCCATGGGATCATTTATACGACGACGCCAGCCAGGGTGGAATTTCATCCAGGACCCCCACGCAGTGGCCGGTCAATGGATCGGAGTGGTTGATCCAGCGGGTGTGCCGTGGGCCATTACGCCGGCAGTTCATCACGCCCGAAGGCATTGAGTTTCATATGGGGGAGATCCATCAGTATTTCCGTGTGTTCGTCAATCCGGGAGATGTTGAGCGTGGGCATCCACGTATGTGCCGGGCAACCCAGCCGTGCCCCCGAGTTGTTGAGTATTCGACAGCGAGCGAGAGCGCCGGAATGGGTTCATTGATGATGGGATGGTGATGTTTGTCAGCCGATATCAAAGGGTTCCATATCAACAATGACACCAGGTGATTTGCCGATATTTACCGCGGGAGTTGGGGGAGTTGGTGATATGGTATTTGTGGTTGGTGTTGCCGTTTATCCAGGCCATGCAGTCATTTCAGCGAGGGTTCCGTGGGCAGCCCGCCACCACCGAGCGACGCGCCGATTACATTTGGTCCCCGACCCCGAAAAACAGAAGGAGTGGAGTTCCCCGATTCGGGAGATATTGAAGGCACAAACCCGCACGGGGTTACATGGCACCGCGATCAACATCCAGGCATATCGGGAGATCGCCATTGCCGTCGGCCGGCGGTATGGACGCGGGAGCAGCCAGTTCCGGTCCATCCAGCACGGAGAGAGCCCGATTGTCGCGGTGATGCCCACCGGGGGTGGCAACAGTGTATTATTCATGTGGCCCGTGTGGGTGCGTCGTGGCGGGATGACCATTGTGGGTTTGCCATCGATTGCATTATGATGGGACATGCAGCGCCGGTGCCAGGAGGTGGGGATTTCGTGTGCGGCGTGGGATCGCCAGTGGCCCCCCGATGGAGCGTCCATTATATTAGTCACGCCCGAGAGTGTGCCAAGTCATGAAGTCCGGAGATTCATGGACCGGCAGCGGACGTGGAAGCGGTTGGATCGGATGGTGATCGACGAGTGCCATGTTGTGTTGAGCCAGGACCACGAATTCCGCCCAGTAGTGAAGAAATTCGGCCCGTTACGATCCGCGCAGACGCAGATGATATGTTTAACCGCGACATTGCCCCCAGTGCGGAGCCCGAGTGTTGCCGGCGGATGGGGTGGACCGACGGGGACGTGACATGGCATCGAGGACGTCCCCATCGCCCCCATGTGGCATATCGGGTGCATACCGTGCCCCCCGGCCCAATTCAACAGCAGCCGCAGTGGGTGGATATGCCCGAGGTGATTGCATTCATCCAGGATCGGATCCGTCGCGCGCGGCCCGGCCGGGTGATCATATATGGCACCGCCGTGGCCCATATCACCCGGATGGCCGAGTCATTAGGGTGTGCCGCGTATCACCAGATGACAATCGACCGCGATGGTGTATTGCAAGCATTGCGGGACACGCCCGGCGCCGCCATCACCGCCACCACGCATTGGGCATGGGAATTGATATTCCCGCCATCCGGAGTGTCATTCATTCGGTCAGCCACGCACGATGTTCGATGACGCACAGGAGAGTGGCGGCGCGGGATGCGATGGGCAACCCAGCGAGGCCATGATCATCCAGGCCGACGGTCAAAGGGTTGGACGGGAGCAACGGCCGTTGGATGCAGGGTCATAGTGTGGCGGAGCATGTCGGTGTTGTGGAGTATATGGAGTGCGGTCCACGATTGCCGGCGTGTGGTGTTGGATACATATGTAGACGGGCACATTGATGGATCCCCCCGGCAGCGTTGTGGCGGTATCCACCCGAGTCATTATGTGATGGATGTGCGCCCGAATGGCAGGACCAGGAGCCCGTGATGACCGGGGCCATTCATATTGATCATTCCCCCGGGGGCATTACGGTATATACCAGCCCCATTGCCGCCGGCGTTGAGAATGCCCAGAGGATGCCCGTCATGGCACGACCACCCGAGGTGTGCAGAGTTATGAGGTTTCCATTATGGCCCGTCGGCCCAGCAGCAGCAGCAGTGGCCACAGCAGTGTCAGTTTGAGTTCGCCATTAGCACAAAGTACGCAGCCCATTGTGCGGCGGCATCGAAGAGGCCATCCAGATCCATCATCGTGGGCAGGAAGCGATCATACGAGCATGAGCCCGAGTCACCACATGCCGGCACCACGCATCCACCGCCAGTATCACGGCCGCCAAACCAGATAGGATCCCGATTGCCCATGGCATCGATTCCGGCCGCAGGACATTAAACGTGCCCGTTTATCAGATCGACACCATGGCACGGCATCCCAGCGATTTCAGGACGAGGCATATATGAGCAGGAGGTGGAAGGTTGGTTCCATCGTGGGATGCCGCAATACATATGCCCGCAGGCGGATCACACGACGGAGCATAGTCCGGCGGTACAGGATCGGTGTCAAGGGTTTCGGACGGCATTGATCCCGACAGTGGTGATGATGGTGAAAGGGCCATATGCAATGCGGAGATATCGCCGCGGTGGTTCCAGCGGTGGTTCCAGCGGTTAGCCGCAGGGAGTTCAGAACGTGGAGCAGGACGACGGGGTGTTGATAGGATTTTTGGGACCGATGGCGCCGAATACAGCACGGAAACGGGCGCAGATCACGCAGGAGTTCATTTGGTTGCGGCGGGCATATCAAGGGCGCGACGATGCCGGTAGATGTGGATTCGGGTTGATGTTGACAGCGGTACCACGGTTGGAAGCCATTGATCGATATTCAGCAGGCCACGGAAGTCGATTTTCGAATTCGAATGCCATATGATTTTTTCAGATTTATCAGTAGGGTTTGTTCGATATTGAATCATGGCGATTTCCAGGCGAATGCCATGCACGGCGGAAAGCAGCCCCGATAGCCGTTTTATACCATTCCACAGCAGTAAAGATTGGATTACAATTACGGGAAAGAATATTTCGGATACATTATCATTCGGACACGATCAACACGATCGATTATATATAATTCCGCAGGTGACAGACCGCAATATATATCGATTCCGGCGCCGTTCGAGAGTGCAAATTGAGCGACGAGCAGTATACATATTCGAAGGCCCGAGCACGGACACATTTATAGTTTCCAGATATCAGAGCATAACGGAGATATTCAGGGATTGTAGTAGACGTGTTCATGGTTATGATTCGGCAGGTGACGGACAGCAATATATATCAACCCCGGTCCAGTGAATGAAGGCAACAGCCACCCGCAATATATATATTCGAAGGCCCGAGCACGGACACATTTGCAGTTTCCAGATATCAGAGCATAACGGAGATATTTCGGGGTTTTGGAGACGTGTTCAGGATATGTGAGCCGTGTGTTGAGGGTTTTAATCCATATGTTCAGGGTTATCGGCGTCGAGGGTTATCGGGTGTTGAGGGTGTTTGATGGGTCGCCATTTCCAGCCGAATCCATGGGCGGCGGAATACAGCCCAGATAGGCGTTGTATACAATCCCACAGCAGTAAAGATTGGATTACAATTTAGCCGAAAGAATATTTCCGGTACATTATCATTCGGACACGATCAACACGATTGAATATATATAATTCCGCAGGTGACGGACAGCAATATATATCGAATGCGGTCCCGTAAATCAGGGCAATAGCCACCAGCAATATATATATTAGACAGCCAGAGCAGAGACCCATTTATAGTTCCCAGGCATCCGAGTATAACAGAGATGTTCAGGGGTTTTAACAGACGTGTGCAGGATTTGTGAGCAGTGTGTTCAGGGTTTTTAATATTACAGTTTATTAGCACATACATGTCGAGAGGCACGAGTTATGATTGTCAGAGGTGTAATTAAGCAGTGTAGCAATTCCCAGGGCGGATAAAAGAGGTATTAACGGATCGATTATGGTGTATATTGAGGGATGTTAAGGGAATTAATATTGTCGGTTGCAGGTGTCGCAGTCGGGTGACCGTATTTGCCATGATTAGGAAGGAAGAAGTGATTGTTTTGAATGAGCACATAGTGTCAATATCCGAAGGTGTGAAGATGGTATTTCGGAAGGATGATCGCAGGCGGCAATCGAGGCATCACGATAGGAGGGATTCAGTGATGATATCCGGGAGGGTCCGGCGGATAGGGCAAGAGGTGAGATGATTGATATTCAAAGGGATATTGGGGACATTCCGCAGCGGGGGACGTATAGGGTAGGGACACACGGACGGGTAAAAAGGATGGAGGGGAAAGATGGCGAGAGGATGTGAATTGGCGAGGAGGAAGGGGCATTGGACATTCCGCAACGGGGGGACGTATAGGCCGGGGGCACAAGGACGGGTAAAAAAGATGGAGGGGAAAGATGGTGAGAGGATGTGAATTGGCGAGGAGGAAGGGGCATTGGTGATGCGGAGAAGGGGGGGGAGTAGGGTGGATGGGCGGTAGGGTGGGAGTGGGTTTTCCGGGAGTATAGAGGATGGTCAAAGGGCGATGGTAAGAATATGGCGGAGATACGGTTGGGTTGTCGGTGTTGCGGGTTTTGATCAACGTTTTCAGTGTTGTCGGTGTTGAGGGATATTGATGATGTTGAGGGATATTGATGATGTTGAGGGATATTGATGATGTTGAGGGATATTGATGATGTTGAGGGATATTGATGATGTTGAGGGATATTGATGATGTTGAGGGATATTGATGATGTTGAGGGATATTGATGATGTTGAGGGACATTGGTGGTGTTGAGGGACATTGGTGGTGTTGAGGGACATTGGTGGTGTTGAGGGATTTTTTATCAATGTGTTCAGGGTTATCGGCGTCGAGGGTTGTTGACAGTGTTGAGGGATAGTGACAGTGTTGAGGGTGATTGATGGTGTTAAGGGTAATTGAACATGTTCAGGGTGTTTGATGGGGTCGCCATTACCAGCCGAATCCCAGGGGCGGCGGAATGAAGCCCAGATAGGCGTTTTACACGATTTCACAGCAGTAAAGATTTGATTACAATTTATGGGAAAGAATATTTCGGATAGATTGTCATTGTGACACAATCAGCGCGATAGATTATATATTATTCGGCAGGTGACAGATGGCAATATATGTCGATCCCGGGGACGTTCATTAGAGCAATAGCCACCAGCAATATATACATTGGAAAGCCAGAGCACGAACCAGGTGTGAGTGGAGGAGTATATGCAGATGGGTGATCCCGGTTGGCGACGGCGGGGATTGGATGGATATTTGGACGGGGTGATTGATGGATATGAGCGGAGGCGGTGCGATGATGGCAAGGAGGATTTGGGCATATCCGAGATGTTGTGTGATGGGAGTGATGCCGATTGACAGCGCATGAAGGCGATTTGGCGGACCCGTGGGCGTCCGGGGCGGTCAGGCGGGTTTAGGGATTGATGAAGTGGTGGAGGCAGGATGGTGATGCATGATTGGATTGCAGGGTGGGGACGCACGGCGGGGCGTAGGAATTCCAGAAGCGGTTTACGAGGTATGCGGATGAATGGCAGCGGCGAGTTGGGCAGGCGGGGTTTGACGATGGGATGAGGGGTGGAGAAGGCCAGTGATTCGAGGCGTGGGTCATGTTGATGGCATCACGTAGGCGTTTCACAAGGGTTGTTTTTTACCAGCAGGAATAGATGCAGGATGATTTTCATATATATATTCCAGTCCAAGAAGATTGGTATTCCGGTTCCGCGGGAGGTCGGAGAGATGCATGCAAAAGACAGCGGCGCGGCACATCACGGCAGCCCAGGGGCAGCCGGTTATATAGCAGAAATGGGTAGATATTGGATCCGGGGGATGTCCAGGCACGAATTATTATCCAATCGACCAGATCAGTGTCACGGACGCCGTATTGTGAAGAAAACAGTGTGGCAAAAAATGAACCCGATATGTTGAAATATATATTTACCGGATCAGATATATATTTTCGTTGGGGTTCCGGCACACGTCATGACATGTCAAAAATTTTAAACGGCAAGGAATCGAGTCGCGATTGATAGCAATGGGTAGTTGAAGTGCAGAATATATGATGATTTGATTGAGAGAGTATATGATGGATGTATGAAAGCGTGGTGTTCAGGGTTTATCAGTATGGAGAGGGAGATTTGTGTTCAGGGTTATTGGTTGATGGTGTTGAGGGATATAATGGGCATTGAGGGTTTTGATTATTGTGTTCAGGGAAGTGAGTGTTCAGGGAAGTGAGTGTTCAGGGTAGTGAGTGTTGATGGTGTTAAGGGTAATTGAACATATTCAGGGGTATTGATGGGGTTTAAGGTTTTGTTCGATATTGAATCACATGGCCATTTCCAGCCGAATGGCATGGGCGGCGGAATGCAGCCCAGATAGGCGTTTTATACGATTTCACCGCAGCAAAGATTTGATTACAATTTAGGGGAACGAATATGTCGGATAGATTGTCATTGGGACACGATCAGCGCGACGGATTATATATAGATCAGCCGGTGACGGACAGCAATATATATCGACCCACGTCCAGTGAATGAAGGCAATAGCCACCAGCAATACATTCCAAAGCCAGAGCACGGACCAGGGGCGGGTGGAGGAGTATATGCAGATGGGACATGGCGGTTGGCGACGGCGGGATTGGATGGATATTTGGACAGGACGGTTGATGGATATGCGCGGAGGCGGTGCGGTGACACGGCGGGCGAGTCGGTGTGTGATGGACATGGATGCCAGCCCGATTGGGAGGACCACGAGTCGCGGATGGGGTCGTCGTTCCCGGTGGCAGAGGATGTGGCGGTGGATGAGGCGGTTGCGATGGATGGGATTGTGATGGCGGAGGCGTATACGACGGATGAGGATATTGAGATAGTTGACCGCGATGACGCCGTTCCCGCGGACATTGCGCCCCAGGCCACGGATGGTTTTCACGGGCATGTCCCCCCGTGGCACGGACAGCAGCAGTGATAGTGGGAGGATTGTGTCCCAGGTGGCATATGCACCAGCAGCCGCAGCGAGGACGGCAGCAGCAGCGACGGCAGCAGCAGCGACGGCAGCAGCAGCAGCAGCAGCAAGGACAGCACCACCCACGACCCCAGGGCCGAGCCCACATCCATTCCCACCACCACACGCGGAAGCATCCCAGCGGACATATGATGGACGGGAGAAGTGCAGTGATTCGAGGCGTGAGTCATGTTGATCGCATCGGCGTGGGCGTTTGGTTTTTACCAGCAGGAATATATGAATGATGATTTTCATATATATATTCCAGTGCACGAAGATTGGTATTCCG